CACACACACACACACACACACACACACACACACACACACTGTGGGGTGCTAACTTTTGTGTTTGAACGAACTTTTGAAACCCCGTGTTCTGCTACTCTTCTTTTCGGTCATTAACGGGCTTTGGGGTAGTACCTTCTTTTTGGCTGGCAGGTAACGCATGGGATCAATGGCCGCCGAGGCCTCCTGAGTCTTTACTTCGAAGTGTTTTTGCTCTCTCATAATAAGGGGGTCTACTCACCAATGGCTTAGCTCTAGGGTAGGGTAGGGATATAAGTTACTTCGGCTATCAGTCAGAGTTCCGCCTAGCCTTGGGTAAGTTAGGGGAAGGATGGTAGAATGTGTTTGTGGGCGCCGACTTTCAAGTTGCCTTGCTTAGGTACTCCTTATGGGTAGACTCTTTGAATTGGGTCTGTAGAAGATTGCATGAGCCTGGCGTCTGAAGTTCCCGTACGCCAAGGTTCGCCCGCTTCCACTTCCACTGCGGCTGGGGGGTTGGCCCAACCTCGGTGTTTGTCACTGCTGTCTGAACCAAGTTGCCCTCGATACTGGTAGGGTGACCGTCTTGAGTGCTGGTCACACTGAGGTAGGATAGTAGGGACAGGGGGTGCGCTGGGAGTGTTAACGTGGGGATGGGTAGGGTAGGTGGCCTATCCTGTCAGGACAACCATTGGTTGCCGCTGCCAGCAATCACCGCGGGTCTGGTCCTTGGCCTCTATAATACCCTGAGCTTTTTAAAAAGAAACAAAGGATTTTCGGAATTTTGTTTTCCTTCAACTTTACGTAGGAATTACGCTCGCCTTAGCGAACACGCTAGGAATTTTGTTCATCAGTTGGGAGCTCTGAAATTTGCAGGCGCACTTCTCGCTGGCGTGTCCTTTCTTGTACATAGAGTGTTCCCAAATCCGCTGGGAAAGCCCGGTGAATTTTCTGAAAGAATCTATAATCTGAATAGGCGTAGGACTTCACGCGTCTAATTCCGCGCGCAGATATTGCTTTTGAATTTTTCAAATCTTGAACTAATTTTAGAGTTGGATTAGATGGAGTCTAACTATTTCGGTGCCTTTTTGTTTCCAAGTTGGCGCCATGCTTGCAAGCTTCCCCCATCTCCCGTTGTATCCCAAGCCATCTTCACCCTTTCTCCTTCGTGCCTTCTTCCCTTAACTCGTAACTGTTTTCCATCCCTTTTTCTTTGCGTATCTTTCTCCCTCTCTTCATCTGAATCTTGGTCCTGCTCCACACCGTTCTTCGCCCCCTCTCCTTTCCTGCCTTCGTTCCCGTACAAGAAGGCCCTTCCGACCCCCTTCCGATCCTTCGAGACATCAAACGATAGCGTGTAAGGAGGCACTACCCCCCTCACGATGCAATCTGATTGATTACGAAGTGACTGGTGCGGACCGATATGGCTTTCCCAAGGCGACCAATCCCTCTTCCCCTCCCCCTCTCTCCGAGCCCTTTTCCTTCCCTCTCTCCTACCTTCTAGTTCCCTCTCCGCAATTATAAAATCCGCAAGTGCATCCAAAAACTCTCTCTCAACCCATCTGCCACATTAGGGAAGTGGTGGCTAGAGGACTTTATGATCAGCGAGTCAGAACTTGATGAGCCGACTGTAGTCTTGCGAGGCTGTGCACTGGATGGCCGCGACGAACTGCTGGATCTGGGCGAGTCAGTGAAGAGACTAAGTTAGCGGGGTGATGATCGTTGTGGAACGAAGGTTGCTACGTTGCGGTCGGGATCGACAGTGCCTGAGTGAGGAAAGTGTGTGCGTTGATGAGTGGTTGCATGACCTGGGGCCATTGCATGAGAGCAAAGGCTTGCACACCTAGATTTCTCCTTCTTTTTCATGTCATTTTGGAAGCTAAGTTCACGACAAGATGTCGATCTCCTTCGCATCTCCTTGCATGCCTATATATTGGTGTTTGTTCTTTTCGGCCAAGCCAAAGCTTTGTCAACACTCTCACTCTCTCTCTCTCTGAATGATTGGATGATGAGACAATTTCCTTATTTCTATCTGTATCTGAGTTATCACCCCGCTTGTCTCTTTAGTTCAATCAAATCTCACGGGGACGAGTCTCATCGAACTTAAGGGGCCAACGAGGACATGCAATCTTGCTTTTGTCTCCGTGCCTTTCAAGTTCCCTTGGTATGATGCATGGTGGAGATTTACGGTAATGATTTATCTGTTGCTTTGAGGTCTTGAATGAAATGTGATTTCGGTTTTATTGTTCTTTGGATTAACTCACCTTTGTCCCGACTTCTTTCTTTCGTCGCGTGAATACTGCCAGAATGATGGATTAAGTAGATGTACAGAAACTAACGAGCTTATGCCATGTGGACTGACCACACAGCTCCGACTGGGCGCCAACCTCTCGTACCCCCACAGTGCCCGTTCCCGTATAACAAGGAAAGGCCACGTGTATGCGAGTGGGACGTACGAGAAGTCATCGCAAGGATCGGAGGACGTTATTATTCCCCGCTTTATTCCCTGTTGTTACCCTTCAACGAGTTCATTGTCATTCTGTGGATGGCAGTGACACCCCATTGGCCTAACACTCAGCTCTCTGTAGCGATTGCCGCCGCACAAAGCATTATCAAGAAAAAAGGGGTTCCACTATCGAACACATGGCGAGGATGAGTTCAAAGAACGGGCGACCAAAGAACTGCCATTTCATCGAAATGGACATCTTTTATTTTTTGAACGAAATTGAAACTGAGTTTTTTGGCCGAAAACTCGTCAAAATTTGGTGTTCCCGAGGGTCCAGCGTTTTACAAACGCTGGACCACCTAGTTGTACATGGACGTAGCTTGAGACCAGGTACCTCCAGGCAGTCCTGCCTGGAGGTACCCGGTCTCAAGCTAGGTCCATGTAC